AAGCTTGGTGGACAAGTTAACACATTTTTTTAGTGTACATGCAAACTTAAGAGGATGCAAAATACTTGTTAAGAGTTAAAAGTGATCTCGGAGAATTTAGAAGCGTAAAAAAAAAAATTTTATAGAGACATTGTTAAATAAACTCTCTTTTACTTTATGAAGTATTTTAGAGAGATAAATAGATGGAGAGAGAAGGATCTCTTCTTTAGAGCTTCTATACATTTTCATATACGTATATATATACTTGCAACTACTGAAGACTCATTAAACGGAATATTTATACGGGAAAAAACCTCGAGAAGTGCGCACACCATACATATTTATACAAAATGATAAATGTCTCTAATATTCTCCCGACCACACGATGTATATTAAATCGTGTGCGGAGCAACAATGGTGCGCCGTAAAATCAGTGGTGCATCAAATGCGCTCTTTGTAAAAAACGAGAACCTTACTCAACTGCAACGGATAATGATTATTGCAGATGATAAAGGTAAGAGACAGAACTCTCGCGCGGGGGCGGAGTGCCTGCAATAATGACGAATGCAGTAAAGTGCATTTCGAAGTAGCATTCGCTCGACGATAAGTCCGGTGCATCATATCATCATATCCCGACACTGGCGAGGAAAGACAATTCATTGCACCCTCTGCCTCTCACACGGCAAATTTCTCTTTCTTTCTCTCTCTCTCTCCCTTCGCTTAAGAAGTGAACTTAATATCTCGCAGCGGGATGCGATATCGCTCTCGCGGATCTAACGATGTTATCTGACGGAATATAAGCGAATCTCTCTCTTGTCTGCCGTGTATTACTTACTTACGTCTCGGGTTTGCTCCGTATTTATTTAAATATATATGTATACAAATTGGGTTAATCGCACACAATCTCCGTTATTCATAATTGCGAATTAATCGCCGTTAATCTCACGTACGTATACAAAGTGCATAATTAGCTGAGCAATTAGGCGCGTCTAATTTTCTTGAATCCTAATTATTATACGTATGATGTTTAATCGTTTCCCTTGTGCATTGCGCGCCACAAATACTTGATAAACAATAACCAAAGTATATCCGTAGGCGTTTGCTCCGATAATAAAAGGATAAACGCGCTGGTTCGCGAGTTCACGAGAGATTAGAGTCGCAGCTTCGCGCGTATATATATATATATATATATATATATATTTATTTATTTATATACCCGGCGTCAATTAATACCGAGGGACAGATGTATCCACACTTGGGCTTCCACGAAGCGTCTCTAATCGACCGTGTTACACGAAGGAAAAAGGGATCGACGAACTCGACGCGCGACCGGTCGCTCATCTTATATTGGTCGTAGGCAGCATTACATCCCGTAATGGGCGAAGCTAAGCCGTTGCCTCTCTTTTTTTTTGTTCTCTCCTTCTCTCTCATCCAGTCAGTGTGTGACGAACCTACGTCGGAATACAGAAAAACACCCGGTCGCGCCAAGGCGTTTTATGGTTTCTCGAATGATCTCGCGAGACGATCTTTCTTCTTTCTCTTTCTTTTTTTTTTTTTTTACACCGTAGTCTGGAACGTGTACGCAGTCCAAACAAAACCCTCGTTAAGAAACGATAAAATTAATTTTCTTCGTGTTACCGTCATTATTTAATTTTTACGCTATACAACTGTGCAAAGAGAGAATTTTCTCTCGTAGAATTTACACTGAAAATTATATGGTAATCGCGGGATAAATATAATACTGGAAGAATTTTATAAGAGTTGATTGATATTTTTATTCTAATTAATATTTATCACAATTTTTTATTGTGGTAAATATTAATTTAATCAGAGAAATTCTTCCAATACTCTATTGTCCCACGAGAACCATGATTTTCAGGATAAATTCTAAAAGAAAATTCTCTACGTGTAGACAAAATGTCAAATGATTTAACAAGACGTCTCTGAAGCTTAATGTTTTTATTCGTAAAAATAGCAATGATAATAATAATAATAGAAATGATAATAGGGAGAAGTATTAAAATTTAGAGTTTCTCTGATTAATATTTGCTACAATAAAAAAATATTAATATGTATAGTAAAATTAATGAAACATTTTTATAGCTTACTGTGATAGATATTAATATTTTTTTATCGTGGTAAAAATATTAATCAGAGAAATTCTTGTAAAATTTTTCCAATACCATATTTTGTCCCACGATTACCTTGATTTTCAGTAAATAATTTCTAAAAGAATATTCTCTCCGTGTATGAGAAGTGATCTTGGAAATATCATCTTGAATCTAATTTGATTCATAGATCATTTTTAGATTAATTCTCCACAATAGGAGATTCTCTATTTCTCTAGAAAATAAATCAAAGAAAAAGAAAACAACCTACAGATATATCTCATAAAAGCAATATATGCATCTCACCTCGGTTACGAAGAGGCGGATTGCATCAGCAGCAAATATTATCGCGCTCAGAGCGAAATAAAGGTGCTTGAGAACCACTATCTTAGAAATAAGCAACTCACAACAGAACAGGGCAACTATATATCCGTTGTTGTTGGAGCAACAGATCGCGCGGCGTTCGCACCGTTTTAACTCGACAATGCAGACGATAAGTTAACGGTATATCGACATATCGAGCGACTGTAAGAAGACGCAAGATCATCAATCACAGACTCCGTTTCGACGACGACGAGCAATAAGAAAATAAAGAAAGCCAAAGAGAGAAGAGAGAGAGAGAGCGAAGGGACGAGAAGGAAAAGAGGTTTACGGGGCCCAGATGTAATCGAGATCATCATCCTTTGCGAGGAAAAAAAGAAACAAGAAGAAGCACCAAGGGCTCACAGTCACTCCGCATCATGGTTACATCACGCGGAGCAGCGGCCTCTCTTTCTCAGTCCTTTTTCTCGGCTCGCGGACACATGCGAAATTTTCTTGTTAACGTTCGCGACGGAGGTCCATTCTTTGTCGAGGGTTTCTTACGCGCTGATCGCGACGATGATCGCGACGTCAATGATCTCTCGTTCTCTGAGAACGTCGTCGGTGGGTTAAAAGGCCCGACGATTACGTATACGATTTAATAAATTAAAGTGAAGAATAAGAGAGAAGATAGCAATTTGTGGAAAATATATATTCAATTTCATTCAATATATTTTATCCGATTTAAATTTAATTTGATAAAATTTAATATTTAATTATTAATAATCGGTCGATTTTACGGTAACTCTAATCATTTTGTAAGAGCGCTCTTATATATGAATACTAATTTATTAATCACAAATTCTACCCACGGGCGAGAGATATGAAAATCGTGTCGCGATCATATTTGCGAAATGGTGCATTTTAGAATTGAATTAAACTGTACCAGTAGTAGCTGACTCCGACACATTTGGGGACCGTTTATTATCTCCGCTTGATATATCGCGATACTTTATTGCCGACACACGACGAATATTTCACGGTCTCGTAATAGGATATCTCATGGAAACCGCTGTGGACCGAACGAGATATTACGGTATATGCGCGGTGCATTAAAGTTTGCTACAGATATGTCCCGAAATTCAGATCAATTATCGATTAGCAACATTTTTTAATCCTTATTTTCAACGTTAATTTGATTATTCTAAAGTTCTCGAAAATATTGATCTTTTTCGCACTAATAGCTAGTTTTTTTTAACAAAATGTACGCGTATCGCATAAATCAGTTTACGCTAATTGTGATTGCAATTAGCAAAGTTTGCGTACGCATTACCAATAAAGCAATCGCGCTCGTTACTCATTCGATTTCGCGGTTTATGCGCAATTTATATCACGAATGAGTGTCTGCTAAAAAATGAAAAAAAAATGAAAAAAAACTCACGCTGTTATGACACATTTCATTTGCAAGTCGAATGTCAAATGCGGCTATTTTGAACGTGACAGTTGCCGCATTCCGGTTCGGAGCGCGGTTCGGTTAAGGTTTCAGGAATGTGCCCACTCGATTCAGGACAATCGGCCAGGAATGCGAGAACCGTCGGCGTCGCCTTGGTTCCGGATCGTCGGGAGAGGACCGAGAAGGCGGATATGTGTGCTCATGCACGCACGTGTGTGTGTGTAGAATCTCTCTCTCTCTCTCTCTCAACTGCTGGCAGTGAGTCATCCACAAGACTCGTGCATCGCGTCGCACGACGTACCTTAACCCTTGTATAGTGTATCGTACCTGATAGGCTATCGATATATGATCTCTCCCGCGATTTCTCGGGGTGGTCTTTTCAACAAGCATTCAGTCTACACGCGCGATTATGCTCCAAACATTTTAATTTCAACGATGCAAAATTATTCTGCAATATTTGAGAGTCGACTTTTTATGACACTGAGAGAATTTTTTCTTAAAATGTATTCTGAAAATCATGGTAATCGTGGGATAATATTGAAAGAATTTTGTAAGAGTTTCTCTGATTAATATTTACTACAATAATAATATTAATATTCAAATATCTACTACAATAAAATATATAAAATATGTTCGATTAATTTTACTATGTACAACATATATAGTGAAAATTATTATGTACATATTAATATTTTTTTGTGACAAATATTAATCAGAGAAACTCATTAAATTCTACCAATATCATTGTTCTATGATTATCATAATTTTCAGGCTAAATTCTAAGAGAAAATTTTCTCTGTGTATATGTAGAGATTTTACACTTGTTTTAATATTTTAAATGTAATAATTTTAAAATAAAATTTTCAGAATAAATAAAGAATTAATGGTAAATATATATTAATTTGAGGAACTCATAAAATTCTTTCAATACCATATTGCTCCATGATTACCATGATTTTCAGGGTAAATTCTAAGAGAAAATTCTCTCCGTGTAGAGAAAATGATTTAACGAGAACGTCTCTGAAGTTCAATGTTTTTTTTACGCAAACATGACAATAATAATAATAATAATAATAGAAATAATAATAAGGAGTATGATTGAAATTTGTCTAAAAAATAAAAAATATATGAAAAAAATTCTGGAGCATGTCTAATCGTACCTTCTTCGCAGAATAAAGTGTCTCCTCAGCATTTGCGTTCAACGTGTCATTTCGCGGCAGATTCATTTTCTCGTCTCTGCTATCATTCTCTTCTTTCTTCCGCTTCTTCGGCGACGGTGTCAAGCACGTCATCGCGTTCATAATACCGCGAATTACCTTTTTTGACATCGCGTGTTGATGCGGGACCGATTAATCTAGCAGTCGCTCCCCCGGTGGTCATAACCGAACTGAGCAAGAACGCGAACGGGTATCGAGCTCGATGAACAATAGCAGAGTCGCGACGCGAGTCCGCTCGTGCAGAGCGCAGAGTGAACGTGCAACGACATGTTCAAGATCAAGCTCCTCTCGCAAGCAAGGAGGGAAAGGATGAGCTAGCCCTGTAATAACGGAGATACACCTGAATCGCTATCTCCTCGTCATCGTAACATCAATCCCGATTCGGTAATCGAACCGATAATTCGAGCTTATCAATGACGATATATCATTACACAATTGCATATGTATATCAGATTAAATGACAATGTTTTATATAATGTTATTGCATATATATTTTATATTATTATTTGTTAAATATAGTACACATATGTATAAATAAATATACATATATATATATATATATATATATATATATATATATAGTTATAAAACAATAATATAATATTATAAAATAATTAAAAATTATTGCGCTAATATATTTAATAATCTATAAATGTCTACACAAATAAATGTAATATAACATAAATGATATTTATAAAATCGACAAATATCTTTTGTAATTGTCGCTGTCAATGGCTAAAGTGATATTGTTGGGAAACAATAAATTCAATTAATTTTTAGTTGAAGTTGAAAATTTGTCTGAGAAGGAACAATATTTTGCAATCGATAAAAATGATAGCACGTATACGTTATAGCGACTTGCGTGAAAAATTTGATTGAAATGAAAAGTAAGAAAAACCACATATATCAAGTTAATCAAAAGTCATTCGAATATTGAATACCCTATATCTTTCATCAGTTCGTATAAGCTTCGACGAATTTATAGTTAATTACTTATCGCGCTTCTACCATTGCGGCTGCAGCGCGATCTTGTTTGCGGATTGAGTTACACACTCCCTCGCTTTCGCCTCTCAAAGGGTCCCATTTACGCTTTCAACCACGACGAAAGAGCAAAGTAAGAGCTGTCGAGACGTGACACATCTGCTGCAAAACTGCAGTAGTTTATAAGTGCAACGCTTTCGATACAATAAAGCAAAAAGCGAATGATTAGCGACGCCAGTAGGGGACATAATCTAAATCCAACTCAAGTCTTTAGCTCTGTGTGTATTTGTGTGTTTTGTATGTGTGTGTTGTGTAAACTTAATCCAGTCCTTTGCATCGTGTTCATCTACTTTTTTAATGAACATTTAAACTCACGTTTATAAGATAAATTTCCTTTCTTGAAGCTTGCTTGGATAATTATCAGTGATTCCAACGGAGTAGCTTTGATTAATTGATATTTGGTGTGCAATTAATGCCTGACGCATCAATATTATTATATCCCTTGATGAATAAAATGAGGCTTTATTAAGAATAATTGTGGATAGAAAAAAGATTTTATTATGCATAAATACATATGCACGGTTATAAATTTATATTTACTTAAGACATAATTATTCGCGAATAAAATTGTGTTTAACGGGTTTTATGCAAAATAAAGTTTATATACATATATAATTACGGATTAAAATAAAATGAAAATAAACAGTTGCTTCATAAATCAATAGTTATTTCAATAATTATTTCAATATAGCAGAGAATTGATTTCAAAGTCAGATAATTTTTTTTTTCAATAAACAATATACGAAATCTTGAAAATTGCTAGTCTCAATTTCCGCGATCGTACGGAAATAAAGCACGAATTCCAAGACTCGTAACAGGTGTGATGTAAATGAATTTTCGTCTGAAGAATGTATGAGAAATAACCCGAAGAAAATATTCACGGAAGTCGCGCCGTTGCCATTTCGAATGCATTTCCGATATGCGCTATAAAAGAAATTCGCGAGGGAGAGACTCGGCAGACTGTACGTTCTGTTTAGTCGTACTTATATTACACTTTCTACGCTCAAGAATAAGTATATGTATATACTCAGAGGAAAAGAGTAAAAGAGGAAGAGAGGAAAGACAAAATATTGCATTCTGCAAAAATAAATAAAAAAAAAAATAAAAAATAAAAAACCGCACGTGGCTATAAAAAAAAACTTCTTCCTCTTCCTCTTTAAAATAGGGTCGTGCAGATTTTCGAATCTGGATGACAAAGCTTGGTTGAGACAAGCGAGTCGTCCCGCAGAGCAAACAAGAATTCTCCGTTATTTCGAGTCATTATACCCTGTAATCGTCCATCGTTTTTACATGTCATTGCGAGTGACGTTGCGCAAAACGCGCCGCCGTGATCGTTAGCGTTTCTTATTCTAGTGCAGCTGTACGCGATAATCCATTTGCAGAATCGACCATTACGACGCGAGCGAAAATCTCACAATCAGCTGATCTGGCGGCGAAACGCGAAACACGTAACCGCGGCGCACATTAGCGCAGACGGGATTCTTCAAGGGATAATAATCATCCGTAACTGGATGATTTGCATCAGGGCTTAAGGTAGACAACCGCGCCGCTGATTATGTTTCGACAGAGGGAATTCCTCGAAAGAATTCCGCGAGTTCCGATCTCCCTCTATGTCCGGCGTGGCGCTAAAGTCCATCGAAAATAGTGTCTTATTGCAGATATTTAAAGAATGTGCTACAATAAAATGTACTACGACAGTCACTTTTCAAGAACATAATAGTTTTCAACATTTTTCTCATCTTAAGACAGTGTAAATAAGCGAGAGATATTTATAATTATTTTATTTTTTGTATTATATTAATCATATTATTTTTTGAAGTATTTTTTCAAAAAAATGCATCTAATATTTTAATAAGAAATAGTGCACAAAATATCTTAGTATATGAAATGTATAATAACGCGCACATATTCGTTTAAAGAGGATTCGAAGAGCAATAAATAAATATCTCTGAAGTAATCGCGCTTTATCAATCGCAATTTCAAATATTAGTAGATCGAACTGCCGCATTTTATAGGCGGATATTGCGCATATGTTTCGATAAAATCAATCGATTTTTCCTCGCACAGGAGTGCCATTTATATAAGGAGCGATAACACCGTGGGTAAATAAAAAAATCTTTCGTACTTCGATTTGATGAGATAAAGTATTGTCGATCTACAAAACTGCTTCTATTTTAATAACATTTTTCTCAGATATGATGTTTGTTGGAAACTTATTTTAGATAAGAAGATTAAGAAATCTAAGTCAAAAGATTTATATGGAACACAGTTGCAGCTATTTTAATATAACTCGTATACGTATTTAATAATATGACGGTGAAAAGAAAAATGAGAAAATTATTCGTAAAAAATATAATTCACATAACTTCTTTTTTTTAGAAAGTAACGAGCTCATATTAAATCCTTTTTAAAAGATAATTATTCTTTCACATTCTTAACTTTCTTCCCAAGAACGGTATGCGCTTTCTTGAAATATCACATGTCTTTATATGCGCGTAATTCATAACTAGATAAAGTCATGCGCAAACGTTATCCTACGTACTGCATTACGTATTAAATACTTAATTTATGTTTCTTGAAAAGTGCTTTCTCGCTACGTAGTCATTCTGATAATAATAACTTGCGTGCGGAATGTCTCTGCGAAAATTATAATCGCGGTAGATGATAATAATCACGCTAGATTGTTATTCGGTTAATTACCGGTTGCATTCCTAGTGTACACAGGTGCATACACGGAGACAATGAAGTCATCGACCCCCGACTGTCACTGTTGCGTAACGAGTCTTACGTCACGTGACCTAAGTAAGCACAGAGGGTGTCGGACCCTTCTGAGAGGTATACTCGGATTAAGAACAAGGGACCGGGGCGCAGTTTAATTCTAATTCTTGATTTAATTACGGCGACTATATAGAGGGTGTCCCAGTTAATACCAGATCCCTGAAGCGATTTGGAGACGATTTTTCCTCAGCAAAAATGTAAAGGTCATCATTTTTTTAATATTCCCAATTTTTGAAATCATGTATCTTGGTAACTAAGCCTTGAATTAAAATTCTATTAAAGTAAACTTTACCTAAAAATTTAACTAAAAAATGTAGTTTTGTTAATAATTTATTTTTACAAGGCTTAGTTTATAAAAAAGCTTTTATTTTCAATCATTTGTAACTCAAAAATTATTGGTGCCTGGACATTTTCGCTGAGGAAAAATCGTCTCCAAATCGCCTTAGGATCTCCCATTAACATGTGAAACGGTAGGTCTGGGACACCCTGTATACCATGTTACTAAATTACTTTAACGCCATAACGCTCAGCGGGCATGATTTAATTAAGTATCTACATGAGCTATTTTATTGTTCGCTCTTCCTTTCACATCGTGAGATAATAATATGGAGTGTCTCGTGAATGCAAACTTGCTTGAAATTTCCAATGTATCTCTGTGTGTGTGTATCGCGTTTAACTTATTTCAATTATCTTCAAACGGAAGTTTTACGTAACTCCGGATACGTGCTTCACTTTGCAATTCTCAAAGGAGTTGGAATTTTGAATCTCTCGTCGAGCTATCTCGAACATATTTCCGAGAGATCTTTTCAGAAGATGTTTCGTTTCACATGACGTTCGTCGATCGTTGCTTCAACTAAAATGGAATCTCGCGATAACGTTGATGGAATTTTGAAAGCCTTCTATCGTCCAATGATAAATGCGTAACGTTATGGACCTATATATTATACATATGATAGCGGCATACGTTTCATCTTGTAAAATGTAAGAATAAATATACTTAAATAAGCAAATCAAATTCGCGACTCTTTTCTAATTTAGCGCGTGCGAAGTATTTGAATGCATTGTATACGTCGCAATTTTTTTTTTTTTTTTTTTTTTTTTTTTTTTTTTATTAAGACGCTTATTACAAGCTTTCGCTAGTGATAACGTTAAAAGCATTTGAAGAGGAAATGTGTTGTCTTTAAAACAGCGCATCAGTACTGATGATTTTACACACTAAAAGAAGTTAACTTGACTAAACCTTTCAACTAAATTATTATTTTGTTTAAACATATATTACTATTTATATTAAATATACGTTTTTAATTTAAATATTTTTGTATATT